GCAAGAATGGGGAAATCGGAATCGCGCCTAGTAGTAGCCTTAGGATTTTGAGTGATCGATTTCCATTTCTTATTTGCCATTGAGAAAAAAGGTAGAATGTCGGGGAGAGAGAATGGTATAGAGAAAGGAAAGGACACAATAGAAACCAAAGCGCAAAAGAAATTTAGAGCAAGCACAAACGACGAGAAGTCGGATCCGGAGGGAAAGAGCTCCATGAGGGGAGAAGAGCATCTCTCTCTTCTTTCTCACTCCCGACTTACTCACACCGAGAGCTCTTTCTTTTTTTGATTTAAATGTAAGTGTATAAATCAAAGTAAAACCAAGCTGGAGAACCAACAAGAGTAACATATAAAGGATTTACAAAAATGGGAACGAGCTCCCATGAAGCTGAACCGTAGCTATATCTAGATGGTTGCTCAAGGAATCATTCTAGTAGAGATTCCAAGAAAAACCAAACAAGAAATAAGTAGAAATTAGTCGGGACCCTTTACAAAAAGCTCAACAACAAACAAAACATTTGCCGAAAGGGCAAAAAAGAGTAAAGCCTAACCATGTACAAAGCAACTTTAAATACGACGAGAAAACAACATTGAGCCTAGACAAGCAACGACATGGGCTAGCCATTGCCAAGATCGGGTAGGGCGACAGAGCCTACCCTAACGGCATAGCAGGACCGGGAGCTGCGAGCGAGCGAAAGCCTAGCTTGACCACATAGCGAAGCACTAAAAACGGAACCAGGAGGCGTTAACGAGCCGAGTAGGCTCGCCCAAGTAAGTGTCGGCGGACGTAACTAGCGAGAGGGAGCGAGACGGAACCAAAAGCGACCTCTCGGTTAGAGGTAGGCACCCAAGCTAAAGTTACACGAGGATAACGAGCAAAGAAAGGCTAGGCGAGCGGTGCGGAAGCCAAGGAAGACCGGAGGAGCACCGGCCACACCGGACCCCGATCGCGCCCTAACGACGATAGCGGGACCGAGAGCTTACGGGAGCGACGAATGATAGCCCGGCTTGATCGCACGGCAGCACTCAAAAACGAAACCAAGAGGCCTTAACGGTCGAGTAAGCCTACCCAAGTAAGTGCTGCGTGACGTGACCGGCGAGAGGGAGCGAGACGGAACCGAAGCGATCTCTCGATTAGAGGCGGGCACCTAACCTAAAGTTACACGAGGATAACAACAAAGAGAGGCTAGGCGAGTAGTGCGAAGCCAAGGAAGACCAGAGGAGCACCGGCCACACCGGACCCCGACCGTGCTCGAAATAGAACCCAAAGACATGGCGAAGCACTCGGCGGCGACGAAGCTAGAACCATCGGGCAAGAGCCACCAAAGCGAGAAAGCCGGTAGTAAAGGTAACAAAACGCCTTGCACTTCTCGGAATAAAGGTCTAACTCGCTAACTCACCAATCCACCAATCAAAGGCTTCAAAGAGTAACCCAAACAGAGGTAGAGCTGCTGGAGCAGGAGACCATAAGCATAACCGGAAAGGAGCAGAAACCAAAATGGACTTAACCTCTCAAGAAGCGGTGACTCCCAAATGTGAAATGACACGACCAAGTAGCAACCAAGCAGCAACCACAAGAATCGAATAGTGGTACGCAAAAACCTAAAAATTTGAGCACACAAAAATCTAAATAGGGGTAACGATCAAAGTGATCCCACATGTAGAAGGGTGTGGTTTGATTCATGGAAATAGTAAATCATGTAGAACATGGTCCGAAATTTTCGAAAAACTTTATCAACGGAGCTTGATGCGGCCTCGAAAACTCACTCTGTTTCGTTCTTACCGGATCATATAAATGGTGAGACCAAGGCCAACCCTCCTCATTCTAGCTTCAAGATTATTGCGCCTACTAGATAGACCACGAAGAGCACTATGAAGAGTAGACATACCTCTTCTAATTTAGACCCACCTCTTAATTTTTAGCCGAGGCCTGCCGACTAATCGCGGGGAAAAAAACAAATGGCCATGTGACTCGATAGCTTGGCCATAGAGAAGGCGAGCTTCCCGGTCGGGAGAAAACGAAGACGATCCTTAGTTTTTAAAGCACCTCGTGTAGCTACCATAGGATGAATGCATGCCTCGGCATGGACCAATATTCCCGGACTACGTGGGCCCAACTCGTTGGGTTCATTTCTAGACGAGAGATGGGCATAGGCTATACAGGAGAAGCTTCCCCCTTTAGAGTGCCACTATGCTAGTTCACTAATAGCTATAGCTTGGGTATTATATTTACGGACAAGAAAATCTTTCAAGGCAATCATCGCTTTCCACAAAGGCGAATCGGTTCGATGGGCATCTACCTCCCAAACCCGACGATCATGCAAGTAATAATGGTGGACCCATCGGATCCACAGGGAGTCGGATTTGAGGTGAATGTCCCATAGGCGCCGAGCTAAAAAACTTTGATTCTTCACTTTAATGTCTAACGAGCCCAACCCGCCTTGATCTTTAGGGAGGCGAGAGGTTTTTCCAAGCTACTAAGGCCGGAAAGCTTCGCGGGCGTCCCCGTCCATAAAAAGTTACGACACATGCCGATAATGCTAGTGATAACTCCGGCGAGCATAGGAAAAATAGATAACCGAATTGAATCATACCATAGAGGATTGATTGTAGCAACTCCGGTCTACCCGCATAGGATAGATGTTTACCCATCCAGCTACGAATGGCGGTTTCAAGGCTGTGAAGCAATGGAGCAAATTGACTAGCAAGCAAGCGATGTGGACTTAAAGGGACCCCCGAGTATTTAAATGGGAAAGATCCCTCGCAGAAACCAATTTCATGGAGGATAACATTTTTCCGGGTGCCGCCCACCCCTCCAAAGAAGATCGAGGACTTAGGCTGCGTTGATGGTCGGACTCGATGTGTAGGCTGCAGAGAGACAACTCGGGTGGATAAAATCCGGATGGAGGCTATATCTCCACGAGCTAAGGAGCGACACATCATCGGCAAATGCAAGGTGGGTGATGGCCCGGTTCCCACATTTGGGGTGATGGGTAAAACCGGAAGACGCAGAGTAGCTACCTAGAGCAAGCGGGAGAAATATTCCATACAAATTACAAAGAGATAGGGAGAGGGTGGATCCCCTTGCCTTACTCCCTGCCGCACTCGAAAAGAACCCAAACATGCTCCCATTAACCGAAATGGAACATGAGGTCGACTCAACACAAGCACTTATCCAAGCAACAAATATGTTCGGGAACCCTAACCGTAAGAGTAGACTGCTTCGAAAAACCCCATCGCACAGAGTCAAAGGCCTTATGAAAGTCAATTTTCAACAAGCATCTTGGAGAAGCTCTCTTTCGACCATACATACGGAGCGAGCTCCTGAACTAAAGTATTGGCCTTTTTAGGGACTAAAGTAAGCACACGATGGTCGACTTGCTTCAAGAGCATTCCAGAGATAAAAAAATCTCGAATAGCGACACGAAATCCCTTTCAACTATATCCCAAGCCTATTTGAAGAAATAGGAAGAATAACCATCCGGACACGGGGCTTTCTCATTATCTATACTTGAATAGGGCTCGCTTAATGATAACCTTCGAGACCAGGGCAAGAAGAAAGTCATGGTGGGTGGTAGATAACCGAGGGCCGGCAGCTACAATATTAGGGTCGAGGGGGCCGTGTCCGTTGCTTGTACCCAAGAGGGTTTGATAGTAAGAGACCGGCTCCGCCGCCACTTCTTGGGTTGAGGTGGTAAGATGCCCATCTGTCCTTTGAAGGGCCACAATGTAGTTGCCTTTGTGCTTCGATTCATCGGACCATGAAAAAAACAAGTACCCTTGTCACACTCTTTGAGAAACTTACATTTCAATTTCCGGCTAAAGAACATCTTTTTAGAGGATTTGAGATGAACCAAAGATAACCAAAGCCTCTTTTTTGTCATCACAAGATCTAAATTATCCCTATCATGCTAAAGCGCTAGCCGGATATCTACCAATTCGGATTCGACCCTAGCCACTTTTTGGGAGATGTGGTCGAAATGGAGACTATTCAACTTCTTGAGGGGCTGCTTTAAGGACTTTAACTTCCGACAGAGGAAAAACATGGGAGAACCATGGAATCTAGCTACCCAACGAGTCGAGTGATAATTTGGGGGAAATCGGCATGAGCGAGACCACATGTTGAAGAATTTGAAGTCTGCGAGTACCGAGTCGCCTATGGATGCCCAAATCAACCAATATAGTTGTATGTTCCGGAAAAGCACCGGGAGGATGAAAAAGCACATGGGTCGGTATATGTGAGGAGGACCAAAGAGGATTAGCTAAAACTTGATCAATCTTTGTCCAAACTTCCACCCCATTCCACGTGAAGTGGCTCCCTATATAGATGAGGTCGGTTAGCCCAAGGTCTGAGCAACAAGTCCTAAAATCAATTGTTTCATAAGTGGAGATAGCAACGCCCCTATGTTTATCGGCTTGGGAAAGGATTGAATTGATGTCTCCCAAGAGGATCCATGGACCATTCGAGCTGCCATTGACGAAGCTCCTCCCACATCCTACATCGAGCTATGATGGTATGTAAACCATAGATAAACGTGGCATAGAAACAAGTCTCGTCGCACAAGATCATTGAGCCGAACATGTAGGCCTTGGATGGATACATTCAACGGATCAAATTTCACGAGTCTTGGCGTTCTAGAAAAGAACTATGTGGGCTATCCTCACAACCAAAACATTAGAGAGAAAGTGCCAATTCTTGAGCCGAAGCTTATGCATATGGACAAGCTTTGCGGAACTAAGCTTTGTTTCCACAAAGGCATAAATATCGACCCGCTTCTTTTGCATGAGGTGGGCTGCCTCATGCCGCTTCGCAGGACTATTAAGCCCTCCGACATTCCAGCTAAAAATGATCATCTTTGAGTCGAAGAGGCTAAGCCCCTTTGACTCCCATGTCCGCTCGTCCTAACCTCTCTTCGCGGCACGGCCTTATCTCAAGTGCGAGTAGCGACAATCCGAGTCCCTTGTTCGATCGGGGAGACCTACTTAAAGGCCCAAAAGTGGTTAGGACAGGAAGACAATCGGCTTCTCCGACGGTAGCATTCTCCATGTTGGGAGGCGCCGACTTTTCTCTGATTCCCTCGCGCGAAAGGGTCCGCTTGGAGAGCCATTTCGACTTGCATTCCGATTTAGGTCCGTCTCATCCGCTTGACCATGAGGTCCGGCATAATCATCATTGGGGCTTAGCCGTCCAACCCGATCACAATTAGTGCCATTGGCCACCCCGGGCCTTAGCCGAATGGAGACAAATGCACCGGGTGATTCCGGACCGGTCTCAACTACCCGCATCACATGTTTCCCTTTTTCACTTACCCCTGCAGGAGTGTTTTTTCCCATAGACTCGTCTCCCATCGCTTTGATGCATCGACCGCCTCAATTAGCATGGGGTCAACTAGCTGCGGGGCCTCATCCAAGCCGAGCAGTGGCGAAGCACCTAGCCTCTAAAAGACACTTGGTCTAGGCATTCTCGCCATCTTCAACGAGTTCCTTTAGTGGCTACCCGACCCCCTTCTCGAGATGGCCGAGCTTTGCACATTGCTCGTGGAGTGCCCAAGTACACGGTAATGCTTACAATGAATTGGGAGAGTCTCATTTACCACTCGGTTGTAAAATTTTGGTGCCATTGGGTAATAATATGCCGATTATCCGAGGCAAAGTATCCATTATGTTCGGTTCCACCAAGCACTCTTGCATAGGATAGGCGATCCATGGAAGCTATTAATCTATCATATTGGATTGGTGTACCAAGTAGGCTAGCAATCTTCGATAAACTTACGGGGGACCAAGCATTTCAACGGCAAATTAGGGAGCTTGACCCAAACCGACACGGTAGACACTCATTGGTGGAAAAATCAAAGTATTCGGACATGGGTCTTAAGATCAAAGCACAACCATAAATTAAATACGGTCCCCCATTAAGCACCGATTCCTTATCCGCACGGGATTGGAATTTATAAATAAGCCATCCGGAATCATGCACTCGTTAAGGAAGCCATACATTTCCAAGTATCCTTAATGAGACCATTTAGTGCCCGGAAACCTAGACTCTTACCGACAACATAACCCACAAGACAAGTTTTCCATAATTCACAATTGGCATCATCATTGAGCAATAGACATTGTTTTGATTCGGTGATAATAGAGCAATGTGATAGTTTAGGACACAAAGCCGAGTTACGATTACTTACAAATAAGTCTTGCCACTTGCTAGCTAGAGGGGGAATGGATTCGGGAACGTCCGCCTTGGTGCCAACACTTGCTTGGAGGCCTTTGCGCGACTGTCACTTCCTCAGAGAGTGAAGGAAGGTCGGGGTTGATAGCTGGGAGCGAAGTGGCAGCTGGAGCGCATGAGGAATGGGAAAGCAATCGAGCAACAACAACTGTTTGGTAGGCGTCGGTGGCGGCTCCTAAGGACCAAGCCGGTGGAGAGTCATTGAAGAATTGGGACCGAGACACGTGATCCGCTTCGATGTAGAAAAATGCATTTCCTCCTCACCGAAATGATTGTCATTTGAGCACTCCTCGACAATCACGAAGTCGTGATAAGGAGCGAGGTCGGCGTGTTTAGGAAAGTGAGGTCTCGGTGGAAGTGACACATTGGGACTCTAGGGTTTTTCTCGAATTGGAGTGGGGGGAATCAATGCCCGCCGAAAAGGGACGAGCACAACGGGAGCTTCAATGGTAATAATAGGGATGTCGAATCTCGCCCTTTGGTAGCCCTAGAATGTGAGGTCGAGACTTTCATTTTTCTTGGCCATAAGCGAACATGACAGAGTGACGAGCCGAGAAAGAGAGGAAGGGGCGAGGAAAAAAGTATGTGGGGGAGAGAGAGGACTTAGAGAATGGGGTTCAAGGGAAGATTAGAGCCGCCAACCGGTAGCGAGTTGGATCCGGAGGGAAAGAACTCCATGAAAGGCGGAGAGCATCTCTCTCCTCTTTCTCTCTCGTACTACTACACCGAGAGCTCTTTCTTATGTCGAGAACTCTTTCTTGATTCTATGGGTGGTGGTGCATGGCCGTTCTTAGTTGGTGGAGTGATTTGTCCGGTTAATTCCATTAACAAACGAGACCTCGACTCGCTAACTAGCTATGTGGAGGTGACCCTCCGCGGCTAGCTTCTTAGAGGGACTATGGCCTTCCAAGCCAAGGAAGTTTGAGGCACAATGTGTCCGTGATGCCCTTAGATGTTCCGGGCCACACGCACTTCTTAGTTTGAGTCTATAGCCTTGGCCGATAGGCCCGGTAATCTTTGAAATTTCATCGTGATGGGGATAGATCATTGCAATTGTTGGTCTTAAACGAGGAATTCCTAGTAAGCGTGAGTCATCGGCTCGCGTTGACTACATCCCCGCCCTTTGTACATACCGTCCGTCGCTCCTACCGATTGAATGGTCCGGTGAAGTGTTTGGATTGCGACGACGTGAGCGGTTCGCCGCCGGCGACGTCACGAGAAGTTCGCCGAACCTTATCATTTAGAGAAAGGAGAAGTCATAACAAGGTTTTTGTAGGTGAACCTGCGAAAGGATCATTGTCGAAACCTACCCGATAACTACCGTGAACTTATGGTCGAGCATGCTAGGGCCGCAAGGGGCTCTTGCCCTCCATGTCCCTCGGGGCCATGGATGCGTGCATCCGCACCCGACGTAGCTCGAAAACAAACCCCGGTGCGAGAAGCACCAAGGAACTAGAGTATAAAGAGTGCACCCCCATCGCCGAAGGGTGCTCTGGGGTGCGTCTCCAATTTGCGATAAGCTAAATGACTCTCGACAACGGATATCTTGACTCTTGCATCGATGAAGAACGTAGCGAAATGCGATACTTGGTGTGAATTGCGGAATCCCGTGAGCCATCGAGTTTTTGAACGCAAGTTGCACCCGAGGCCTCATGGCCGAGGGCACGTCTCGCCCGGGTGTCACGCATCGTCGCCCCCAAACCCCTCTCGGCTAACGAGGGCAAGGGGTGGATACTGGTCTCCCGTGTGTGCTTTCACTCATGGTTGGCCCAAAATTGAGTCCTCGACGATGGCCGCCACGATGAGTGGTGGTTGAGAGAACCCTTGAAAGCGGTCGTGCGCATGCCCCGTTACGCTTTGGGATATCCAAGACCCTCGAGCATCATCGGCTTTGCTAGGATGCTCGCGCTGCAACCCCGGGCGAGGCGAGACTACCCGCCGAGTTTAAGCATATCAATAAGCGGAGGAAAAGATACTTATAAGGATTCCCTTAGTAACAATGAGCGAACTAGGAGGTGCCTAGCTTGAGAATCGAGCGCCCGTGGCGTTTGAATTGTAGTCTAGAGAAGCGTCCTCGGTGACGGACTAGGCCCAAGTCCCCCGGAAGGGGCGCCGGAGAGGGTGAGAGCGCCGTTGTGGCCGGACCTTGTTGCACCACGAGGCGCCGTCTCGCGAGTCGGGTTGTTTAGGAATGTAGCACCAATCGGGCTATAAATTCCATCCAAGGCTAAATACGTGCGAGAGACCAATAGCAAACAAGTACCATCGGGAAAGATAAAAAGGACTTTGAAAAGAGAGTCAAAGAGTGCTTGAAATTATCGAGAGGGAAGTGGATGGGGGTCGGTGATTCACCCCGATCGGATTGGAACAATGCCGACGGTCCACCGAACGGCTTGCGGAGACACTCGTCATCGCAATTATGGATCGCATCACCAAGTGTTAGATTGTTCACCCACCAATAGGGAACGTGAGATAGGTTTAGACCATCATGAGACAGAGTTAGTTTTACCCTACCGATGACAACATCGTAATAGTAATCCAACCTAGTATGAGAGGAACCGTTGATTCGCATAATTGGTCATTGCGCTTGGTTGAAAAGCTAGTGGCGCGAAGCTACCATGCGCCGGATTATGACTAAATGCCTCTAAGTCGAATCCAAGCTAGACGCGATGTGTGTGCTTGTCGTTTGATTGTCAACCTACGGTAGGGGCCTAGTGGCCCCGGAGGCACGTGCCGTTGGCCAAAGCCCTCGCGGCGAAGGAGTTGCGTGGGCCGCCTTGAAGTACAATTCCCATCGAGCGACGGGTAGAATCCTTTGCGGACGACTTAAATATGCGACGAGGTATTATAAGTGGCAGAGTGGCCTTGCTACCATAATCCACCGAGATTCAGCCCTACGTCGTTCCGATTCATCGCCCCACGTCCCACCTCCCTTCGAAGGGTGTAAAGGTTGGGACATGTCCGGTGGGGCTCTAGGAAAATGCACAAGGAACGAGCAACGGACTAAAATGGCATTAGTCATTGGAGTATTATAATCATTCCAATTTTTGAAAAGCATTTTCTTTGTTTTTACCACTTAAGTTCTTCGTTTGTATGTCTATCATATCTATCACAAGACTTGTCAAGATGGGGGATGCCGACCTAGATATACTTGTGAAAAAATCAAATCAATGAGAATGCTTTTTGAAGAAACCCTCCACTTCAATTGGTATTTTTCGAGAAACAAAAAAGCACCCACGATGCTTTCCTCGTGTTCAAGTTCCGGGAGCATTTGGGATACCGAGTCTCCGAAGAGACGCGTCCCGTGCTCGCGAACTCCAGGATTTGTTTCACCCCGGATTAGAGTGATTCCACGACCGTAGTACCCGGGGCAAGTCCCAAAAGTAAGGGAAGGTCATGAAACTTCCCGAGTCCTAGAGGCATTTCCATGGCCTAAGGGATACGACCCATTCGAGACCCTCGAAAATAAATGTTTATAGCGTCGAAAGATGAGGGGCGAGCTCGGGGGCATTCGGCCACGAGCCAACCGCCTAGGAGCAAGTCGGCCTACCGGCGGACCGGCCGTTCGAGCCAAGGGCGTGCCATGACGATCGACAGCAAGTGCACGGGCGCATGAGAGTTGGCGGTGCCCCGTGCACCACGGGAGGTCAAGTAGAAAGGGCTTGCCGCAGGATGCAAGAGACTTGGCATTCCACAGTCCGACAAGATAATTTCGTCTCTCTCGAAAAAAACATTCGATAATTCCATAACAATTTTATTATAGTCCCCAAAAAACGGGGCAATGTTCCGGGTTATTTTCTATTTTTCCGGATTTTTTGTATTTTAATAGACAAAAAACATTGAAAAAGCATTCCCTAAGACCTCGCAAAATTTTGGAAATTTTTGAGAAAATGGATTGTATTTTTCCAAACGTGTGATCGAAATTTCAACTCAAAATAGGAAGAATTGAAATTCTTAGAGTGGGGGAGAAAATCGAGACATTGTTGCATCTACCTCTGCTAGAGCTGAAAAGTTACATATCGCTCTATAGGAAAGGCCCCCGGTCCCTTTCAAATACCCCACTTGCACGCCGCGCATGCCCGCGCCGTATCATGCCCCATTCGCG